TAAAGCGCATGTCTCTGTTCACAAAGAGGCTTGCATACTATGGCGTTTGTCTGCACCAGTTTCAGCTGATGTTAATGATTATCTGAGCTCGTAAGAATTTTATAGTTAGTATTTCCAACCAGCCAAATACACTCTTTTCTTCTCTTCTTTCAATGCTGCAAATAATGTGAGCTAAGAATGTGGCTCGAGACTTTTTGCAGTAACTGTACCCAGCTGTTGCATGCTTCGTGTTTAGCACATAGCTTTTCACAATTTTCCATTTGCAGGCAACGGAAAATGTTTTCAAGTGCCGTCGACTGTGTTGAGGCAGCCACCCGTTCAGCCATATTGCATGTTTGAGAGATAAGCGTCTGAATTATTATCATACTCGTAGGGCCCTAGGTAAGTAGCGGACCTCTGTATAAATCGTATGTGGACCTGTTGCTATTTTCGCCTTTGCATTTTCTGCTTCGTTGAGTTTTTCATGTTTCATGCAGGCTTTGACCCGACCAAAGACTTCTTCAAGTGGCAATCGTACATCAGCTTAAAAGGTGGAAAATGATCATTACAATTGTAGCAAACTTAACGCTTTACCAAAACATTTTCAGGTGACACTTTTGGGATATTTGCAAATAAATAATAAGAAAATTATATTCTGCCTTTGTAGACCATTAGGGCAGCCAGCCGTAACGTTGGTCACTAAACTAAAATTTGACATAAGAGTAAATAAAAATAGTAAAAAAATGGAATGCAAATACGAAATACTAGTTGACTTCAGCATACCCTAACAGGCATAAGGTTTAACTATAATTTGGTATATAATGCAGTCAAAGTTTACTTAAACGGAAGTCGAATATGTGACTGACTCCACGTTATTTTTAAAACCAATCAAATAGTCTAATCGATCTAGCTCCACCTGAGCCCTAGAGAGATTTTATACAAACATCTGTTTCCATTAAACTGATTAAAATTTTTTATTTTCAAACACATTCGGTACTCACAATAGAGTCAACAATTTTATATCAATTGAAGGAGATTTCTTTTTAAAAATTGATTAAGATATCGTAAAGTAGCTCTTAAGTTTTAAGTACCATTTGAACCTACGAAATTCATATAAACCCAAGGAAACGAATAGATGACTACTGTTTTATTAGCTACTGTCTTGTTGCACTTATCTTGATGAACATGCCTCCTTTTTATGTGTTACATATTTCGTGGCAATATTATAATACCCCATGTGCAAGTGCATCTGAGAAAAGAAATGGCTGGAACCCATTTAGAGGTCATTGAAAATATTGTTGTTGGTCGTAAAATAATTGTCGGCTCATAGCAGGAACAGAGGAATAGTCGGACAGTCGGACAGTTGGACAGTTGGACAGTTAGTGAGTTGGCAATAGAGCGCGACATATCACATTGGCCCCTTCTGGCTTATGGAGGCAAGAACTGCCCTGTAATTATGATGAGGCCAATAGTACAAACAAGAAACTGACCCTAAACGCAGCGCTTTTGCGGCCCCTAGTAATTAAGAAATCCCCCCTTTTCGTCTTTTTTTTGTTGTTTTCTTTTATATTTATTTTATATTTTGGGTTTTATGTCGGGCAGCGGCAAAAGTTTCACAGAATTCTGTTTTTGATGACTTCACTTAAAAGTCAAAATGGTCATACATGTGGATTATTATTATTATTATTGTTTCTAGTATTTCGGCTTTTTTTTGTTTTTTCTTTTTGAGTACAAAATGCCAGCCGACTTTGTTGGTACTGTTTTCTTTAGCTTGTTCTTGGCCCTTTATTATTTTTTTTTCTTTCGGAGATTGTAGCAGCTACTGCCGTGCTAACTCTACATTAAGAGTAGGCCTGTTTCTTTTTTTGTCTTTTGGGGCTTGCTGGGCGGTCAATTACTTCTGACCTGAGCCGTTGAGCCCCCGTCTCAGCCCAGTTCTTAGGTCTGGTACATCCGTTAGTTTAGCGAGTTTCGGGAAGTGCTGGCAATGATTTTCCTGTTATGGTGAAAGCTCGTTAGTTGTGCATTTGCTGGTAAACAGAACACAGGATTGGGGCACCATCTGCTGTTGTTGCTGTTGCACCATATGTTGCAACTTTCACCCGAAATAAATACTTTGAAATAGCTGCAGCTTTTCCAAAATGCAATTTGCAATTGGTTTTATTTTTTTTCTTTTGCCAATAATTGCAACTAATGCAACAAAACAATAACAAAAGCGACCAACAACAATGAAAGAAACAAAAAACTAAAATTGCACAACTCAGTCGAAAGAAAGAAATCGTCGCGTCGCTTGGGGCTATACTCTGAGTCATGTTATAAGCAGAAACGTATCGTGTTTGTATATATACATATATATCATGTATCTGTATACAAAATTCGATCAAAAAGTGCTGAGATAATAGAAAATGCTTCCGCAGTTGTATATAAACTGGAAATAGATCTTATAAGCAGTATTTAGAAATTTTCCCTATAGATCGGTTTTTTGTAGTTTTGTTGCCGCGTCATTTCCTTATCAAGCCAAGCTGCCAAATGTCACCAGCACCAGCACCCGCGGCATAATTAATTATCCCTTAGTTTCCTTTGCCACCGTACGGATCGGACTACTGTGCGTCGACTGTTTCAAGGTGGGTTTGCAGTATTTACAATTTCTTTTATATGTTCTATTTTTTTTTTTTGTAGGGTCTGCCATGCAGGCGCTGATAGCACACGGCTGTGCACCCCTATAAAGCGAAAGGCAGAGCTATAAAGTATTATCGCATGGCCTACAGTTAGATCATCAAGCGGGGGGTTAGACACTGGCGACAGCACCAGGCACAGGTACATAACATATAACACACAAAAACAACTCATCGTCACGGTTCGATGACAATGGAAAAAAAATAATAGTAAAATTAAAAAAAAAAAAAATACACATGAGCTCCGAATAGAAAATGTGTAGAACTTGGCTACCATGACATTATTAGTACTTGTATATAGTATATATATAAATATATATATTCATGATGAGCAGCAATTGCCTGCTGTCTAACTAAAATGCTGGTTTTACTTCAAATTGTTCACTTTGTCCTAAACTAGCTATTAATACGGCTTACTTAGATTTCCAGCTTGAATACATGTCTGAGACGTACGCTTTTCCTCGAAGTCGATCGAGGAGTTCTTGCAGTTTCTAGAATGTACAGTGAAATAATACTAGAATTTAATATGTAATAATTAATTAATAATTATTTAATTTGGTTAAAGTTGACTTAAATAGAAAATAATAATTTTGTTCAATATATTTTTATGATATTATTTTATTTACTTATATTCATACATATTATGATATTTTTTATTTATTTAAATATTTATTTTGAAATGACAATATTGCTGAATGACTTCTTGCAGTTTCTAGAATTTACAGAAAAATAATAATAGAATTTAATATATAATAATAAAATATTAAAAACTTTTATACCCATAAAATTATGAGTTTGTTAAAGTGGTCTGAAATAATAAATAATACTTATTTTACAATATATTTTCATGATATTAAATTATTTATTAATGTTAATTATATAAATATTTTTGTATTTTTTAAATTTTTATTTATTAGACACCTTTTTTTTTTTTGATCAATTTTTTGTTAGAGGTACGAAGTTTTAGAAAATAGCTTGCCTTATATGAAATGAAGTCCATTAATTTACTTTCATAAACAATTTATTGGCATTCATTATTTATTTATTAATTATTTGCACATTTAAAATCCATATAAGAGTAAAGGAAAATAAATCGATCTAACCAGATATTGGCGTGTTGGCGCTATTAATAAGAACTCAACGATTGCCAGTAGCACAACGTTAAGAGATTTAAAGAAGTATTTTATTTCTTGAGTTTGGCGAATGCATTACAGCACAAGTATATAAATTTCTTTCTTGATCATTTATGGCCGCTGATGTTTAGCCGAATGGAAAGCCAGGCATTGGAAAGAGCCACAGAATCAAAAGTTTGTTGGCCGCAGCGGCAACAGCTGCAATTTGTTGCTGCAACTAATTGCATTTGGCCAACGGTCACCGGTAGCACAGATCGTCTAACGGTTACTTCCGTTAAACAGACATAGCCAAGCGATGAAAAATAGCGAATGATTCTCTAACCAAATCAAAGCATAGAGCACCCAACAACGATCAATGTAACAGTAGCGAAAAGTTTCCACATGAATGCAGCTGCCAGCACGAGCTCAGGCTGAGGCTGAAGCTGAGGCTGAGGCTGAGGCTGAGCTGGCCAGGGCGGAAGTAGCGGTCATTGGAAGGTTCAATCGATGGCTAGGACGATGCTGAACGATCATCAGCGTAATGAACAATTAGAGCCTGAGGTGGCCGCCGCGTGGCTCCCAACAAGTGCCAACTTCCGATTGCAATTGCTAGATATGTAGTAGGTAGGTATGATATGATGATATGCGTATAAATCTATTGGTAGTCAGTTCCTCTGGGCCTTTAATAAGGGAGTTGTTAAAGAGATTGCCGTTGCATTAAGAATTACAGCTGGGAGCAGTGGTTTATAGCGGAAGTGATGTGCTTGCCTCGAAAGGTTCACATGGCATCGGGTCAAGTCGAGGCGACATACAAGCGACAACTTGAAATTCTAGCGAAAATTCGGAAACGCAGGTCTTAAGCAATATCTGGCCCAAGTTGCGGCCGATGGGCCAAAGGGAGGGGGCGGCAATTCAGCTAACGAAACTGGAGTCAGAAGCAGAGCGCCCGAGCTAATGATCATTGCAATGAACCTGAGCGGCAGACGGAGAAAGATAGAGACAGAGCGAGAATGAGAATGAGTGAGCGAGATAGGTACAGAATGAGATGGGCTCAGCGTGATCGAGAGAGCGATCGAGAGTAAGCAAGACGGCTAGCTGTGCACAGCGAACCAAGTAATTACACCTGTGCTAATACGCTTCACTGAGCGCGCCATGCGCAAGTGAGATAAGCATAACAGCTGTTGGAGAGTAGCGTAGCCAGCACCGCGGCGAGGTTACAAAAACCCCGTGCCATGAGCGCAGACAGCCAAGTCGCAAATTGGAACGCAAGCGAACAACGTCGCGCTCTGCCTCAATATCGTCAAACAGTGTGACCAGAGTTAAAGTCTACAAGAGCCTCAGGCAAAGAGAGAGAGAGAGAGAGAGAGCGAGCGAGCGAGAGCGAGGAGAGTTGGCTAGTGTCTCAGGGCAGTTGCTCAGTCTTACCTTGTATACTGTTTGTGTTGTTGCTGTTGTTGCTGCTGCTGCTGCTATTGTTGGTGGCGCGTTTTTTGTGTACGTTGCTTTTGGTTACCTGTCGTGTTGGCCACGTTTGTGACGATCCGATCAGTGCACCGTCAGCGAGCGGCGTGCGCAGTTTGGGGCTTCAGCAAACAGTCGCACAGTCACCGTCAACAACAACAACAACATCAGCTATCGCAGGGAGAGAGAGCTAGAGAGAGAGAGCAATAGATAGCACAGCAAAGTGTTAGATAAACTGATAATACAATAGAAAATTAGAAAAAGTCACAGAAACGTGGCGTACAAAATTTACAAAAAAAAAGAACTGAACAAAAAAGGAAAAATAAAAAACTTAAAAAACAAAAACAATAATAAATAACTGCAAAGCAACAACAATTAAGAAAAAAAAAAAATAAGCAACGTCAACGGCGAAACGGCGCAGTGTCAATAAAACTCTCGAATTCATTAACACGACACAAAACGTTCTATTAGTAAGCACTTGCAAATTTGACGAAATGAAATGGAGACGGCGACTCGAGCAAGCCGAGACAAGCTACAAATTAGCGTGGAGAGACCCTATCGAATCGCCAAAGAGGAGCAACACAACAATCGAACAGCGGTTGAAAGGTCTAAGCTATCAAATAGTGAAACAGACACACAGACAGATATCATAAAAGTCAGACGCGGACACAAAAAACTGAATGCTCAAGTTTCGAGTCATAAAATCGCTGCGATCATATCCTTGGCCTCTAAAGTTCAGGTGAGTCTTAAAATAATACATTTATATTTCCTCAAAGCAGGTTATATATATATCTAAAATTTTTTTTATATATGTGAAATATATACAAGCTTTCAAATAATTATAAAGAGCTCTGAATTTCAAGCGAAAAGCAAGATTTATAGCTATAAACTATGAACTCTATGGAGACTTGTTTGTATATTATATAATATAATATATGAATATATTGAAACACACACACACACTCACACGAAACTCTGAGTTAATATTTATATATATATCTATATATTTTGTCGTCACAAATATACAAGTACCTATAGAGACGGTTTCAAGCTTAATTTCTTATTTATTTACTTAAAGTATTCGATTTGTTTAGAATACAGGTCTTTATGTCTGAATTTGTTTCAGTTTACGGCTCGAAATTGAATAACTTTTATATGATATATCAATATCACAATTGTAAGAGCTAGGCTCTGTTTTTTAATCTATGTACGATTAAATTGAGATTTTATACAATTTAATAATATTTTTGTTTAAAATTGAGCTGCGGTCTATTTTTATTTTACTAATACTCAAATTTGATCATTTATTATTACAAATTGAAAAGTTCGATAGAATTATAAAAAAAATATATATTTTACCAATATTACAAAATTTCTTGGGTGTCTTTAAGGCCCCAGCTAATACCTAATATACAATCAACAGCTGAAATTCTGTTAAAAAAAAAAAAATTACCACGTTTTTTTATAGCAGGCTTACAATTATTAGTTGGCATCCGAAATAGAAATCTGGCAAAATAACATAAAAATAGATGTCTTTCTTTGTGCTCAATCATTTCACATAATTTGTAGCATAAACATTTAGCGGCGCCTTAAACAAGTCAATAGACGATTTAAAAAATGATTTTTCAAAAAATGATTTTTGTAGCCCACACAAAAGGTAAACGGGCAAAAAAAAAAAAAAAAAAAAAAATATTAATAAATAAAAGGAAAAAATGAAAAAAATTACGGACAATGCTGAAGCAACAATAAAAGAGTTAAAGCAGGGGGAAAATGTATAATAAAAGGCAACTTTGGAGCCGTTCGACACATCGGCAAATTCTCGGCACTGAGCGGGTTTGTAGCTTTAATTGCGAGCCAAGACGGCAAGTGACATCATTTTAGGCAACTTTTTGGATTTGGCAAACAAGTTGTACTCGCAGAGTGTGTTGTTGTTGTGGTTGTTGTTGTTCTTGTCATAGCTGGCGTGTAGTCGCAGGTTCTTTGGGCTTAATTGCTATGACTTTATTAGGTTATCAGTGCTGTGTGTATTTGTGCGGATTTTGATGTTCATTGTTGATGTGGAGTTATGTCTCATTAGCAACACGTGTGTGCTTGAAACTTGTACTTGGCTCAACAGAGGCACACACATACACTCATACACACACACACACACTGTTGCAATATCAATTACAGCATGCCTCAGGAGCAGTCACTGGAGTCAGTAACTGGTTTTGTGAAGTCAGTACAACGAGAATGAATAAAAATACCAAAAAGAAAAAACTCATTGCTGTTTGGGACACCTCCTGCACATTGCACACAAATACACACGCACACAGATACGCAGAAATACAGGCAAGAGCTCCTGCAGGTTTCAAGTTGCATTTGCCTTGACTCGAACGCTCCTAAAATGACCCAGAGCTATCGCCACAGTTGTTGCTGCTGCTGCTGCTGTGGCAGCTACAGCTACGGCTTGCCACAACCATAAAGTTGCAGCAGGAAACCCGAACGGCAACAACAACAACAACAGCAGCAACAATTTGCAAACTCATGCCACGCAGCCTTAAAAGGCCGCCTCATCCGCTCCAGTCCGGCACGGTCCGACCCGACGCTGGCAAATAAAAGTGCGTGATTTGTGTCTTGAGCCCAAGTGATGTGCCCACCACCGGCACCACCAGCACCACCAGAGAGCGACAGGCGAGAGACACGGAGAGCGTCCTCAGGTCTTAAGCCTCCGACAATCCATCAGGCAAACACATTGCTAACACTGTCTCTCTTAGGAGGGGTCAACAGACCTCTCCTACGAGCCCAAGAACCCAAGAGACCCAACTCAGTCGCAGTTGCGCTCGCGAGCTCGTTGCCTCCGTTGGTGGCAGCAGCTGCGCATGTCTAATTGTAGTCAAAGTCACTACACTTAACCAGGCAACGAGTCGTGTGAATCTGCCACCAGTTCAGTTCAACTCAGCAGAGCTGTGATAATTGCCAGCGGGTCAAGCATCAAGCAGCAGCACCACCACCACCACCACCAGCTGCATCACCTGAAAGTCTACGAGGCATTTGAGCTTCATCTTCAACTCCAACTCCAACTCCAACTCCAATTCCAACTCCAACTCCAGCTACAATTCCAACTCCAACTTTAAGTTCAACTCAAAGGTTTCTTTTATCAGGCACTTGCACACGTCAACCATTTCGAGAGCGCTTTGCTTCGTACACGATCGCTACTTAAGAATGTTAACTTGCCACCGACAATGAGCTGGCTTACAAGCAAGCCACCAAGGATAAGAAACGCAGTTTGTAAATTAAATAAATTACAGATAATAATGAGCTACAAAATGGTTAAGTGGGATAGCAAAAAAAAAGTGTTTTTTTCTAAAAGTAGACTGGAGGATCCTCTTCAGATTGGATAGGATAGTACTTAAAATGAATAAAACAGAATTCAATTGAACATTTTCGTACAGTATTCATTCCTTCAGTTGATTCTTATTCGACTGTTAAGACCTATTGAATACCGTGATAACATAAGCAGGATTATGATATTGATTCAGATTCAGATTAGAAATACTTCTTTGACAGACTTTTATATTATATTTTATATAAATCTTAATTTATACTTAATTCAACTAACTAAAGCTACTTGAAGTTGGTTCCATTAAGATTTGTACTCAACTTTTTTGTTTAGTTATGAGTTCGTTTGAGTCTTTATTGGCTCCGTTCAGATTTTGGGAATTGTTGGCCAGTTTAGCGTCTCTTTTTTTATAATTTTCGTTTTTATTGGGTTGAATGGCAGCGACTCGGGTATAGTTGGCCATCAAGTGGCTTGTTCGCTGGATTGTGTTTTGACATGTCGGGCACTTCTGGAAATGTAGCGTTTCCTGGAACGGCACCGGGCAGGGCAGGGCATGGCATATACAGACCCTCTCTCTCTCACTCTGATTCGTTTTATGTTTTATTTATTTAATTTTTTTTTATTTTTACCTATGTTTGTTTGTTTTTACATTTTTGTTGTTTTATGCTGACGGTAGCTGACCTTTTTGGGTTTTCGTATCTTGTTTGTGTTGTTGTCACTTTTTCTACAGAAGTTGTAAAATGCTGTTCAAAGCGCCGCCAACCCTTGGCGTTAATGATCGCCGTTGGCCACAAACTGCGTCGTTCTGGCCAATTTCTAATAGCCAACCAATTGGATAGAAGGGCTTTCTGGCTACTGGTTGCATTCTGGCAAGCAACAAATGGCATCATTTAAAAACACATTTCGCCTGCTCATCATCATGTTGGCAGTCAGCTAACAGTTGCCAAGTTTGAAGTCGAAGTCTCCATTCGCTGTTGCTGTTGCTGTTGCTTTTGCCGTGGCTGTTGCATTCGCAGTTTGTGGCTCAGTCACAGGTGCACAGCGGGCAGTAGTCACAACATAACGCTGCTCATATATCTTGGGCGGGCAGGAGGCGGCAGCGGCAGCGGCAGCGACAGCGGTGGTGGCGGCGGCGGCGGTGGCTTGCCGGCTGCTTCAATTGATGCTGACAGCGAATGAAAGGCGCTGCCTGGTAACTCCAGAGGTCGGGGCACAAAAGCCGCTGCCTAGTCACGCTGCTTCTTGCTCGTACTTCCTCTCCAGATGTGTAAACCAGTTTCAAGCCACATACACACGACGACGACGACGACGACGACGACGACGACGACGACGACTCCCCAGATCAATTCTAGCAGATTTCACTTTTTCCTGATCGCCAAGTCGACTCTCGGCTCGGCACTGTCAGTTTTTTTATACATTTTGTTGTTGTTGTTGCTGTGAGTTTTTAAGGTGCAGCTCGAACGGTTGCAACTGTTGCCTGTTGGGTGCTTGTCGTCGTTTTGTTTCTGCTACATTCACCAGCTTCCAGCTCTCTCAACGTCTGCATTGCAGTTTTTTCTTCCTTTTATCAGAATGAGTCGCACAAACATGTTGTTGCCGTTGTTGCCGTTGTTGCCTGCTGCCTGCTGCTTGCTGCTATTGCTGTTGCATGCCACAAATGTGCGATTGGCATGTCAAAATAATTATGTATTGATTTTTGATCTGAGCAAATGCGGAAATTTTTGGCGACGATCTTTGAACCCACAAAACTAGAACTAGAAAACTGGGCAGTAAAGGCCTCCCCAATGAATTCAAACCAAATACGTACAGCTTGGTCTAAGGATAAACGGAAAAGAAGCAAAAAAAAAAGGAGAGGAGAAAAAAGGAAAACAAGTTCTCCAGTTGCAAGTGGGCGCCGCCTGGTCGCAAAATGAATGACACTAAACGCTCCTGACAGCGAACATTTGTCGGTGCCGATCGCAGCGGGGCAGTTAATTACTTTTGCACGAAATTATGTTAGTAAATTGATTAAGCGTCGAATATTTTGAGCACTTGCCGATTAAACGTAAACGGGCTGCAGCCACCCGAGTGGGCAGTTCCTTTCAGCTCGCATCGTTGCCTTGCCTTGCCTTGCCTTGCCTTAAAACCTAGCGTAACACAAATTTATATGTTGCTGTTTGTTGTTACCTTTGGGATGTTAAGCCTGGCTGCACCCACCCACGTGATTCAGGTGGAGCCAGCGATGGCCGACTGCAGAAATTACGGCTCTGAGGCGGTATCTGTCTAAATATGTACATGGGCGTAGTTTCTTTTTCTCTTTGGGGGAGAAACTGAAACTTCAAAAAAGCCGAATTGTAGCTAGATTCAAAAGTTCAGACAATTTCGTTAATCAATGTATTGATTAGTTTTTCGTTGAAGTGAAAACAGTTCGCCTTCAAAACACTTGGAATATAAGTTTAGGTACCGTTTGTTATACTCAGCAATATTTCATACATGGAATTTTCTTTATCAACTAATTTTCCTCATATTGATTATAGCTTTCTGTAGCTACAACTGTTAAGAGTATACACAACGGGCTATAGCGTATAGAGTTACTTTTCAGTTGGAATATAAACGCATTGATTGCTATACTCAGTTTACAGAGTAACTTTAGACGTATAGGTGGAAATGCTGCGCTTACTCTAGAGTCTAGACTCTGTTCAGTAACATCAGAGAAAGCTAAATTCCAGCCATTCATAAACTCTCTGTAATTATTTAATAAAAAAAAAACCATTTGAGATTATAAACATAAGAATAGATATATTCTAAATTAAAAACTCATAAATCTATATCGTTTTAGGCCAATATTCTTTGGGAGGGTTCAAGAAGCTGTTGACAGCATTAGGCCAAGCAGGTTTTGACGATTTGTAAACGTTGAAGAGCTCTGAATAAAGTCAGTTGCGTTAAGATCTATGAAATATGAATGCTCAGCGGGAACAGAGCCAGACTGGCAATATAAATAAGCTGACAATAAAACAGACATAAATATCAATTATAAGCTTTGGGGGAGAGAGATCATGTTGTTTGAGCTAGGCAGGTGTAGAGGCAAAATATAGATAGACTCGGTTTGTGTTGCTTTAGTTATTAAGCAGGAGTTTCTCAAAATTAACCAGAGTCAAACAATGGAACTCGAGTCGTTTTTATTGTTATTTCAAGTGCTGCCAACGCATTGTTTAAAGTAAATATTTCTCTCTTATTGTTGTTGTTGTTGTCGTTGTTGTTGTTGTTACTGAGCATCCACTGTCAGCTGCTTGACGCATACAGCGAAAATAATATAAAATACACGACTTTTTCATAGCAGTCACGTTTTTATAGTTCGATTCTGTTTTATACCCTCTACTCACGCAGATGATGTAGAATGGTTCAAGCTGACGAAGAAACAAGTTTGAGTAGAACCAAATTGAGTTTAAGATATCTTTGTGAATGAGCAAGAAATGAAAACTTTGTGCCAGCAGAGCTTATTTTCGTTTATCTGTAAACCATTTTTTACAGGGTATACTGCAGTGCGTACCATGCTCTTTGGTGCTAGCTAAATGTATGTATATAAAAAATATTGAAACGTGTCGTTCACTTTAACGCTTTGTGTAAGCAAACAAACCAAAAAAAAAACCTCTAAGAGCAGAAAAAAAAGTTTAAAATTCTTTTCAAATCAGATTAGAAATGAAAGGCAAATCAAGAGCAACAATAAAAAGTATAAAAAAAAAAAAAAAAAAAGATGAAAAATATCAGCAGCAGCAGCAACATCATCAGCTTTGCTTACACAGCATAAAAGAGAAAAGAGGAGAAATACAGTGATATGGTAGTAACAGCAAAAAGCAGATATAATATCTGTGTAAGCTGCTGCTAGCGGAGATTATGATGTTGGCCCGTTTGGCCAGGCATTGCATTGGCACTCAGACGTCGCCGGGCTGCCAAGTTAATGACAGCTTCAAGTAACGCTGCGCTCCCATTCCCATTCCCATTCCCATTCCCATTCCCAATTCCAGCTTCGGCTTTGACTTTGACTCTCGTGGCAATTAGTTAAGGCAGCGGCTGTACGCGGCGTATACGTAATATGGCTATATATCATCACCTGTGCCTGTGATGGCGTGTGTGTGCGTGCGTGTGTGTGTGTGTCGCTGATGAGTGCTGAGTGGCGGTCTCGCAAATAATTGCTACTGTTCATCAGCGTCGTGAGTTGCCAACATACATGTAATTAAGATCCAGCCAGCATTGGCTGGAGCTAGCACCTCGTAAAGGTCACTCTCCTGCGCTCTCTGTTACTTCCGCTCCGCTTCGCTCTCGGTCTCAGTTTAAATTTCTTCCGCTCAACATATACGCATTTAAAATGCAATAATTTAATAAGACAGAGGAACAACAAAAAAGACAAAATACACACACAAAAATAACAAAAAAAAAAAAAAAATTGTGCATTTGTGCATAACTTGGCACAATTATGAAATACTTGAAAGGTTTCACGCATAACCGGTTTCGCGAAACTCTACAGAAACTTCATAAATAATAATGAAGGATAATGATGATGATGTTGCAAGCAGTCAGCAAGGGGCCAGGGACCGCTGTAGCATGCCACGCCACGCCACGCCACGCCAAGCTGGCTAGCCGACGAGTCAGAACAGTCAGTCGAGTCCAGTCCTCTGCTACCCTCCTCAACAGGCCCCCACCCCTCCCCTATGAACTTGGGCCTGAAAGTGCCGCCAAGATTTATGCATGTAAAAACTCTGTATGAAGATAAATACAAAGTCTTGGCACAGCGCTAAAACTGAAATCCTGCGAAACGACGCAAACGTAATGGGGAATGGGCATGGTCATGGGATAGCACATTGAGGGTGTTTACGTGGAAAAATGGCATTACAGTGGGCTTTATTTGTCAAGATTAATTACAAAACTTGCGTTAAATCATAATTTTTTCTTATTTATTTACAGGTTTAAACGATGCAGCAGGTTTCGCTGCTCAGCAATGCGTTGGTGTAGCCCTACAGGTTGATAAGGTAAGTTCTTCAACATAACGATATGCTTAGATTAATATACTACATAGTAGTTTATAGTTTTCTAGTCATTTCCTTTCAAGTTCATTGCCATTTGCTCTTAATTCCAATATATATAGATATATATGTATACGTATATTTCCTTATAGTGAAAATCGCTGCATTTATGTATTTTCCCCAGGGTTCCTTTTTTTTTTTTTTTTTGTGCTGCAGCCGACAATTGAACACACAGAAGGAAAGAGATTTCAGCCAAGTTGGGTTACAGGAGAGTTCTGTTTATGGTTTTAATTAAGAGAGACTAATCGAGGGAGTGCAGCAGTGGCTCATTAGCAGCAATTTGTTGGAGTGTGCGCCAAAGCATTTTCAGGCCCATAGCTGGATTTAGATCATTGATGCGTGCGTGTTTTATCCACTAAACTAGCTATGCTTGGCGGACGGGTGTTATCTATCAAAGCGGCGAACCGAATAGCAACTACATAAATCGTAAGGCTCAAATTGACACATGTGCGCACAATCAGTGAAAGCGTGTGAACTGAACTTGAGAAATTGCCACACACAACAGACAGCAGACAGCAGACAGCAGACAACAGACAGCAGACAACAGACGACAGACGACAACAGAAATAAATAAATAACCGCAGGTAAACAAGAGCAAAGCCTAGACTTATGCATATGCAAAGAAGACCCGGTGTGTGCGAGACGGGGGGAGGTAAACAGCAGGGCTGGCGACACACATAAATCTGTATAAATGCTCACACATGAGAATGTTGTATGTTGTATGGGCAGTTGCCGCTGTTGCCGTCTGTCTGCCAACTGCTGCCGGGCTACACAGCATTTCCCATATCAGCTGACAATTTGTCAACTGCTGGCGACTTGAATGACATTCTCTATAGATACACTGTAAACAATGGGTACAAATAACACCAAATTCGTCTTGGCTCTCCAAGAACAATGAGGGCTGAAAAACGCCAACTGCAACAGCTGTAGTCACGCGACTCGGTAGACTCAATTACTTTACAAATTTTGATCGAGTTGTTCGACTGCTGCCAAAGACTTCCTTATCAAGCGCCGCAACTGCTCCAAGTCTCTATCTATGTGTATATAGCAGATATTGCAAGTCTATGAGTCAGCGATGAGTATTATTATTATATTATATTGTTACTAATAAGTCATCAATTTAAGTGAGATTAAGCGTTTTGGCTTAGATCGTTAGCCTTAGAGACCATGAGTCAATCATAGACACATTTATTTTGAATTTGAATATCCTTTTTTATATGGCAACAAAATTTGAATTTAATTAATGTGTTATTGAAATTATTATGTACTGCAGCTACTGCTATAAATTGTTACTGTCGCATAAAATAAATATTAGAAAGGCAAGAAGTTCTCAGACTTTCAACCTTGACCAATCAGTTGAGCTGTTAGTTTGCCTGAAACCTGCTTTGGGAGATTTTATGGGACTTTATCAATCAAACGGGCAAATGATAAGCTCTGCAGTGAACGTAAGCCAAACGTATTTTATGGCCCCAGCAGGAGCAGCTATAAGGCCGAACATTCAGTAGTTAGATTCTGTTGCTCTCTAAGACTTGGTCTATAAATCCGCAACTATTACATATCAGCTGTTGGCATCAGCAGCAGCTCCTGTGCCCTGTGTGCGGAGATAAATGTGCCCGCGAAAACTTTGACAAGCGATTAACTTTACAATTTATCGCTTAGTCTCCAAAAAAAGAAAAAAATAAGAAGCATCAATTGAAGGCAGCGCCAGAGTCGAGCTGCCAATTGTCGTAAATCTTTTGCATCCCGATTCCAGTTTGGTGTGGCTGAGCCTATGCCAGCTGCTGGCTGCTGGCTGGGATCTGGCTTTATGTTGCATCATTAATTTAACTAGTTGTGGAACATGCGCCTGGGTCAGCGCCTTTAAAATACACGCCCTGATTAAAACATCAGCCCGGCTAACTAAGTTGTCGGCAACGGGGCAAACCTGCTCCAGCTGCCTCCTGTATTTATTTATGCTTGTTTAAACATATTTAATGTCATTACGGGTGCAACCAGGACCAACACGCATTTAATTATGCGCCCAGCGCATTAAATTAATGAACACTTTTATCAGCGTGCCACGGCCAGACTGCAGATGGAGAGAGAGAGAGAGAGAGAGAGCGAGAGAGAGAGAGAGAGAGAGATAGAAATATACAAGTTACACGCAGAATCAAGAAGCTGTTCCAATATATTTATTGCAGCGTCTCCTTGTTCTCCTGTTGCTGTTGTTGCTTTTGTTGCTGTCTTCGTCGCCTTTTGCCGCGTTTTAATCGCATTTAATATATCATTTTATTAAGCCAATCGGGTGACTGGCTGACTGTCTGACTGGCTGACTGGCTCTTGGCTGGCTGGCTGGAGTCATCTTCGCTACGGCGGCTCGATGTCTTCTTTGGCTGCTTAGCGTCTGGGTTGTCAATTTGCGTAATGCTGTCATAAGGCTGTCAGTTTATCATACGCTCGCTGGGCAGCTCGCTTTATATTCATTCATTTAAGCAATGACTTTAAGCGGCGCCTGTGGCGACATCTGACGACACCTAGGCAAATGCAATTCTCTGCGCCTCTGACAGCTAGTTGAAACTGAGCTATGTCTGGCATTTAATTGTGGCATGTGTGGCAAGTTCCGAGTAACAGCAGTTATGCTGCTACACCAACTGTGTCTGCAGCTGCAAAACTGCAAAGCTGCAAACAACATTCCATTCGCTCAAACCGATCCAGCTAGCCAGCTAGATTGTCAAATGCAATCCAACTAGCCACCCTACGAACCAACTCTTTTGCCTGTTGCCTGTTGCCCGTTGCCTGTTGCCAATTGCCAATTGCCTGCTGCCTGTAAGTGTGCCTCGGGCTGCAGCAGGCTCTGCCTAGCTCTCTCAGGCTGACCACATAGCTCACAAACAGGCCCAGCTAGAGTTAGTCAGCCTTCGACTTATTGTGGCAGCTATTTCTTTTTTGTTTTCGTTTGTTTGTTTCCTGCCCATAATGTAAAGCCAGAGCATTAGCTCTAGTTAATGACGGCAAAGTGGTTTCGTATAGCATAAATCAGTACTCAAAATAAAAGCAACTTACAAATAAATAACAATCAATTGAAATTGATGGCTTTCCTTTGACAATTGGCAATTGGCAGTAAATAGACATGTTGAGGAAATGATTTATAGATTTATAGATATGCATAATTTAAATCAAGAAAAATATTAGAAGAAGAATAAATATGACGTATATAAATATATATATATAAATATATAGCATCTCGTTAAGTAACCATCGTGCATTGCAACTGCAATAGTTGACATTAACATGAATTCCATTGATACTTATGTCGCATGTATTATGTTCTCCTCTGCTTGCAGAATGAAATGTGCCTGAATCGAAGCTGACTGCATCCTGAACTTGTCAATCATGGAACTGATCTGCATATTGGCTGCAAGGCTAGCGCACGCTTCCTGTTGGGTAAGCTGATACTCAGCAGCGACTTGAGGCAGCTAAGGCTGGTAGACCAGATTGATGTTTAGTCAGAGAGAGAGAGAGAGAGAGAGAGAAAGAGAGAGAGAGAGAGAGAGCGCAACAATGCCAACTCTTTGACAGAGATAGACACATACATAAACTCATCTAGTCGACCCCGTCAGTGTATAGACCTGACCTCTGCTAGCTGCCAAGACTAATTTATCAAATGGTTCAAGGGTGGCCTATCAAAGCCACACGAGCTGTTGCATAATTAGGGGGGAAACCACAGAAAACAGAAACTGAAAAAAAAAAAAAAAAACAAAACACAAATGCGTTTTTAAACCATTGAGCAACGCCTCTTTCTAACAGTTTTCTGTTATTAGTTTGGGTTTCCATTCGCTTTTTCCTTTCAGAAATTTGTGTTTGATTTTTGTTAATTGCCGCTTATTATTCTTGGAGCCATTTGGCCATGTTGGCGAGTGGGTTTAATGGTCTCATACAAAACTAAAATTCTAATTAACAAAATATTTAAGAAAACGAATAAAACAAAAACAGTTTGTGAAAACCAGAAAACCAGAAAAAAAAAGGAAACTATTTTGGGCATTGTAAGAACGTCAAAGCAATTAATCATAAAAAGAAACAGAAACAGAGTTTGTGAGGAATCTTTACTTTGTTGAGCTAACAAAGCCTATGCTTTGTGTTTCTCTTTTAGGAATGCTCATAGTGCCAAGTCGTAGAATATCAGCCAAGTTAACGTAAACGTTAACGCTAACGTTTACCTGCAGTTGAATAAGCAGTTGGATCAGTTTTCGACAGATAAATTAAGTAATAAATCATTTTGTTTGCAGAGCTATCAAAGGAACCGCTCAAAATCATTCGAAATTAATTAATACTCATAATAAAACTTTAATGGAACCAAAGACAGGCGACAAAACTAAAAAATAATAGTTAAGAGTCTTCTAGATCTAGAAGGAGATAGTTAGAGAAGGAAATGAGAGAGTGACGTATAAAGAGAGCGAGAGAGAGAGAGAGAGAGAGAGCGAGAGAGAGAGAGAAAGAGAGAGAGATAGAGACAGAGGCTGTACGAGCTATATTTATCTTTTTCAACTGAAATGCTAACAAGTCTAGAGTCGAAAGTGGCGTCGTGGCCGGGGCAAGCTATCGCATGTGATTGAAATGAAATATAAAATTACATTAAATTACCGGATGTAATTGCGGTGGTCGTGCCAGTCGCTCACAGCCCGCTCAGTAGCTGGCTCAGAGCTAGCCTCTTACGCTGCCCAATGAATCATGGCCAAAACAAAATGCGTCGCAATTGTTGCCAGAGCCAGAGCCAGAGCCAGCCAGTCAGTCAGCCAGTCAGCCAGTCAGGCAAATGGACTCAAGCAACGAACTTGAAGCACTTGGTGTGGGCGCACGCTCTCATGACCAAAAACAAGAAGTAAACAACAACAACAACAACAACAACAATCGAAACATAAAGGCAGGCAGCCCACGCTACATTCAAGACGAAAAATTGTAAATGAGGATCGGGTCCAAGTCAATGACTCGTTTCGAGTATCTTATCAGAGGCAAACGATTTTGTCAAATGACAACTGCGGCACATTAAATGCGTCTTTTTCACGCCACACGACATTTTCAATGTGCATTTAGTTGTCAATTATTTTTGATAGGCTGCCGAGTGCGCATGCCATGATAAGAGCTCATGCGAGCCCGGCTTACGGCCCAGCTCGTGCACTCGCTGCGATCTGGCTCTGTGCTGAGTGCAGGCCATTTGCATATGGAGCGCTTGTTCGCCTCGGTCTTCAGCCTCAGATATGGCAAAAGAGTTTTTATTTAGCTGTGCGTTCTCGCATTAGGACGTTTCGGTTTTGTTAGCAACTTTCCATATAGCAAGCAGGCAGCTGGCATAACTGTTTCTGGACAATGTCACAAATCATAGATATATTGTTGTTGTTTTCGGCTAACGTACGCGTAATTTATGGTTTTGAATGAGCTCAACGTGTTTGTGGCAGAAGATTTTGGCTAAAAGATTCGTCACGAATTCGCAATTGTTTAGCTATTGTTTTCCATGATAAAAATGAATTTAATTGAAGAATTCAACAAAATAAACAAGATTAAAGCTCTCTTAATGAGTTTTTGTGTCGGACAGACTGGCGAACTGATAGCAATGAGAAGGATCCATAACAATATAAATGAGAGATATTGCATTGATTGGCGTACCTTAATGTATGGAGTAACACATTTCTGATGGTTCTTCAGTTTCTAAACAATCTGCTTCGGGGCTTTAGCTTCAGATCTAAAACTCATAATAATTGCTGAAAGCTACATAGTTATATATGATTTAATTACTTCAAATAAATTCAGATCATAGCTGAAAATCATTTTTGAAACTACTTTATAAGTCTCTTGCCTAGCAGCTGACCAATATGAAATACTGAGTACTGAGTATTTCTCGCAATTTCGTTGAAAATAATTTGCGCAAAAAAAAAAAAAAATAAATAAAGAATTGGGAAAAAATGAAGTTTGCAGTGCATATGCCACGCACGTAGCAACAACATCAACGACTGTGCAACAACAATCAGACAATCATGCACATAATCATGCCATCAATATATATGTATATATATATATATGGCAATTATCAATGAAATTTATAACAATCCACGAAATGTAACGAAAACATAACCGACCAATAAAAATTTCATTTTCATAAGCTTGCAGCAGCAACAACAACAACAACAGCAACAACAACAACAGCAGCGAGGAATGAAAAAGGAATCGGGCCGAGCATGGATAGGGGGCATGCTGCCATTGCAGCTGCATTTAATGTGAATGCCGCGTGCTGTGTCCAGTTCGTCATACTCAACATTTTGATGTTGTTGCTGTTTCTGATTTTGCTGCCTGTGATCTGCATCATAAAAACGTGCCAGATTGATGCGTGATTGAAATGCCAATTGGCTTTGAGTCCAGAGCTGTGGCCAAACCTGAAGTTGCCTCGTTAATGTGGTTGTTGCTTGTGGATTGCTCTCGTGTATATATACACATATATACGTTTGTATATGCATGTATGTACATTTGAGGCACGTTATATACTTGGACGCGAACAGCGTGTATTCTTACCGTTAAGACTGCGTAAGGGGCTTCTTTAATCATGTCTTCAATCTCATCTCATTTTTCTTTTCTACCTGCCCCTGTTTGCATTGTCATTGCAGACAATTAGAACTGGTCTCTGATTCCGTGCGGCATTTGACTGCAATTTGCTTAAAAAGGCCGCTAGATAAACGATAAACAGTTGTTACTGTTACCTTTGGCCATATACGACGACATATCTATGTATATGTATATACAACGAATTTCCGACGCTTACCGTTCAATTCCTCTGCCATGACATGGTCAAGACCATGACTAGTTTTTCTCTACGTTTTTCATTTCTTGTTTTATCTTCTACTTCTGCTCTTTGCCAACGGGTAATTTCAGATTGCTACAGAGCTTGCCAAGCATTCAGCTAATAGAAACTATTTCTAATTTGTTCTAGCTATCAATAACACTCAAATAGATATAATATATATATATTGTATTAATATTTTATTTCAATTCGCCCAAAATTTTCTTCAGATATATATTTAGTTTGGACTGAGTTTACAAATTTCAAAATTTGATATCAATTAAAATTCAAAAAGTTTCCCAAAATGCTTAAAAATGTATTTCAAGACTTTTTTATGAAGGATCTCAATTTTTAAATATAAATTCAAATATCTTCATTCTATAATGCATATTTGCAGTGTATATTAGATTCGTTAACGTATACGAGCTTGTTCTTTGAAGCATTTCTATTAATATTTATGGGTTTGTCGTTGAAGCCTTTGCTTTGGCCGTGATGAATGAGTGTGCTGAGGCAGCTGCAGATCTTCGCAACAGCAACTGGCGCCAGTGAACGGCGACAGGCAGTAAAGTGCTGGCCATGTAGGGCATAGACAACTCAACGGACCGATCAAGCAGAGCAAGAGAGAAAGAGAGAAAGAGAGAGAGAGAGAGAGAGAGAGAGAGAGAGACTCAGGGAGAGAGAAGTAGAATAGTGGTCAAGTTGGACAACCTAGTAAGTATCAATGAGAGGCTGCGGTCTACAAATGACTCTTATCTCTTGCTGGCAACAAATTGACCATTTCAATTAATGAAAAACGCACTTAAACATTAAAGAGATGCTCGGACAGCGGACAGACGGACAGCCGGACAGCCGGACAGTCGGACATCGGCATCAAGTGTTGGCGCTAATGATGCGCGCGCGGATGCGAAAATCGTGCGGCGTGCGTTGGCCAGAGAACCAGAGTGAGCGAGAAGGAGAGAGAGAGATGTAAAAACAGACACCGCTCACATTTGCATATTTTGTTGTCGGTTTGGCTGACGATGATTATTGCTGGGGCCAGAGATTAAGCGCGTAAATTTGTCGTTAAAAATCATGTTGAGATCGTGATGCGGCCAGGCAGGGGCCAGCCGAGCCGACGTAGACAGAGACACGCGATTTCGCTGCAAACCCGCCAAAACAGCAGCTGTTGATTTTTAACTGTTTTTTTTTCTCTTTCGTTGTTGTTGTTGTTGTTGGTATTTATTTGCTTGGCTGTTGATTTGATTGCAGCGCTTTTTGATTGATGGCTGTCGCCTCGCGCTGCATGCTCGGCATGTCAATGAGCCTGGCTAGCTACCTAACTGACTGACTGACACACTGATTTACCGTTGCATGATAAGCAGCGTGCGCAAAACAAAATCAACAGAGAGAAAAAAGCAGAGAAGTGGCAATTACATGAAGTGGAGCAGCATTCGGCATTTCGACATTTGCATAAATTGGCCGCAACGAAATGAAAGACTTAGGCAACAAACTTGATTACAATTTGCCATCTCGTCGCGTCGCGTCGCATCGCGTCGCTTTCTTCGTGACTAATTTGAGTCTACGTTTTTCCCAAGAGTTAAAGTTGAGGTCTGCAGTCAGGGGCCAAAGGTTATTTGTAATTCGTTTTCGATGTTACAATTTGGTTGCATTAACTCAATTAGCCTGTCCGAGACGTCGCTCGGCTCCATTTTGCCCAAGAATCATTTGAAATGCAACAGTTAATTAGTTCGCCAAGCACGATAATCTTTTTAATTGGATTTTCTGCATTTCTTTTGTTGTGATTTCATTCCATACGTATTGTTTTTTTTTCCCAAATTGAATCGCAGTTGTGTGCAGCACGCAGCGGCAAAGCCACAAAACGATTTTCACAGCGAATTATGAGGCCAACCGCAGCGCCCAAAGATGCCTCAACTCCAACTTCAGCCACAGCTACAGCTACAGCTACTAACATGCAATGGCTAGGTGGGAAAGTGTATTTCCCACGCATGTTTGGCCTCTTTCCTACAAACAACTTCCGCGGGCTTCGCGCGGCTAAAATAAAATAATTTGCGTTTTTGATTAAATCGTGGGATACATCTAAGCAGCGATGCCTTATCAGGCAGCCGCACAGGTGAACAGTTAGTGGCCGCAACGTGGGATAGATATGTAAATCGAACAAAGCTTCTGTAGGCTGCTCCTGTTTCCAAACGGGTGAGTTGAGTTGAGTTGCCAGTTCCCAGGTTTCATATCGGCGAGAGACTGCGCTTGGATCTTTCAATTGAGCATAGCGAGAAGACCAGCAGGTGAGTAAGTTTGTTTTCGTTGTTTCGCATCTCGGCACAGTTAATGGCACTGGAAGAATTCACGGGGTTTTTCTAACACGCCCGTGATCTCTTAGTGGCATCTATGGTGCGGGATATTACGTTCAACAACTGAAAGCTTTTCGCCTTATTCCTAATTGTGTTAATTGAGCCGTAAAAAAGAAGCAAAACGCCACGACAAAAACTTGTAAACGGGTTTATTCGTGTGTGTGTGTGTGTGTGTGTGTGTGTTTTTTTTTTTTTTTTTTTTTTTTGTATTCTACGTGCGTGATATGAAACAAACAGTGGCCAGTTTTTTGTCAGTTGGTAACAGGCTCAAGCTGCAATAAATTGGTTAGCTGCTTTGTCGTGATAAGCTCAGCGTTCATTGTGGGAAATGAATTATTGTTTTTGTTGCCTACGATCATTAACACCTGGACTGTTGAGGTCTAATTCTTAAATACCGATTGTAAATTTAAGAGAGAGCAAAACTGAAAAAAATAGAAAAAGAAATAATTTGAAAGAACTCTAAAACTTCAAGAACTTTACAGCGTTTGTTTGGGGTCTTGGGAACCTTTTGGAGCGCCGGACGTGTCAGCCTTGAAAAATCACCTTTCACACTGCCCGCTGATGGACAGAGGCATTGCTACAATTAATAGTTCAATGAACTTCAACTAAAGCGAGCGGATGGAACGGTGGCGGCAGCAGCGAAGACTGGATAAAAAAAGCAGCCGCAAGAGCTGGGAGTGAGAGAAGAACAGAAAGTACCATAGCTAGGCCCGAACCATGGATAATAGCCCAGCGCAGCAGCTACAAAAAAGAAAGAAAAAGTCAAGTGAGAGAGAGAGAGAGAGAGCGAGAGAGAGGGAGAGAGACCAGAAGAAAAAAAAGATAATTAACTTTTTTCCTTTTTGTACTAAGTATGCCAACTGAATGAGGCGCAGTTCGTCAACAAGTTGCCAAGAGACGAACAAATTACAGCGCATTACTAAAATACCCGCATCTGTGTGAGAGCGCAGTATCATGGGAGCTGCAGTTGCTGCAGGGTTGCTGGCGTTGCAAGCCACAAGACAGAAGACGGTGCCCGACTCGAGGGTGTCTAGGGCGACTATCTGGGTCTCAAGTTTGTCCACTGGACGCTTCAATGAATCCATGCATATATTTTCTTGCAAATTCTTATTGCAGAGCTCACACACGGCTTACGAGCGAATTCCTGCACGAGCTCTTTGATGACGAGAGCTCTGCACTTGTCCTCCAACAACACTAGCTCCAGAGACATACGCGTTCCGCTCGGATGATCTCGGAAGTGCAGGTAGCAGCGTTTCCTGTTTGCCAGCCAATCGCCATAATACATGAGACACCTTTAACAATGAATTAACTAACATATCAATTGTGAGCGAAGGCACAGAGTACTTGATTTGCACTAATTTTAGCTAAAGCTAAAAGTGCCCTATTGCCCTTTTATTATTATAAATAGTAGCAAAGCTAAGTATACCCTATGCTCGTTTCATTGTTATACTTCAATTTTGCATATTTGAGAACTAAATTTGAAAAAAGTTGATCACTTCTAAACATGGAATAGCAATTAAACCGTCGATAATCAATTCTGCAGTTTACTGAACAAGGAGCAAATAGATATTGATATTGATATTGATGAGATTGATAGAATCTATGTTGAATTGGTTAACTAAACTAGAATGTATAGCCAATATAAGATTTGAATCTTTTGCTTTCTTTGATTTCGAAAAGATGCGGGCATATCAAGCGAATCAATTTAACAACTGATCAATTTTCCTCCCAACTGGCTATACACAGCTGGGCGATGACTGTGAACTGGGCTGACTGCGGCTACAAATGCACGGAGTTTATTTGTTGCTGCTCGGAGTAAGGCCATTAAATGACGACAGCCCGAATTGCGAGCCAAATGTTGGCTGCCTGTTGTTAGTGTCACAATATGCCATGGAAATTTAGAAAATTGCCTTTAATCAGTTGCGAAAATGAGCTGCACAATTTGAATGGCCCATGGGCCGAGATACAGCAAAAGAAAACTTGTAATCAAACCAAAAACAGAAAGAAAGAAAAAAAACCGAGCTTAAGACTGTGGGAAATGAGGCAATTGCAGAGCTGTTGGCCATTTGGAAACGCGCTCCAGATTTGTCCATAACACGGCCTGACCGCTGGGTTCTTGCGTGGGTGGCACTTCTGGCGGGGACGCAGCTGTGCGTTGAGAGATTTTCCTCTTTGCTGGAATGCGGCGCCATTTGCCATGAGAATTGCGGCAGTTCACACAGTCAACGGCGGGTCGCACTTTGATTGACGTCTTGGCTAAATTATGTAAATTATAGCAAGATATCCAGAGAGCGAATCAGAGAGAGAGAGAGAGAGAGAGAGAGAGAGAGAGAGAGAGAGACAAAGATAGAGACAGGGAATAGCACGCTTCGTTTTGTTGATCTATGAGCCTCGATTACGAGGCGGCAAATAAAAACAATAAGAAATTCTTCAACGTAGCTAAAAGCTGCACAAATAAAGCGCAGCTAAACTGTTGCAGTTGCTGATGCAGTTGCAGTTGCAGTTGCCGTTGCCGTTGCTGTAGATGCCAAGTGCGGCAGCTGCTGCTGGCAAACCTGCCGCCAGCAGTCCAGCTCCTTTGCAAATGATGATGAGGCACAGAGTCTTAGCTACATCAGCAGCAGCAGCAGCAACAACAACAGCAAGAATTACAAAGCCAAGACATCCATGGGCCATGACAAAAGACAAGTTGTCGTTCTTCCCAAAATTAGAGGCATTTACATGCCGGCTAGCGAGAGACAAAGGAGAGAGAGAGAGAGAGAGAGAGAGAGAGAGAGAAGCACATAATCTGAGCAAGAGTGGGACAACATTTATGGACTCTGTGTAAACATTTTGAGCGAACGTTTTAGACGCATCAATGCAGCTGGCTAAGATCAGTATTGGCAGACTTGAGACTTCAACTCCGACTGCGTCTGTGGACGGAACTATGCAAATATTTTTTAAACAATTTTCAGCTTAAATACCTTCAAAACGAGGCGTGTCATATTAGCCAACTGCTCGCTTCTATTTGGTTTGGTGCACTCTTGTTAACTCTTTTACCCATAAGCCAATAATAAGACAATAAGAGGAGGAAGAAGCCTCGGGCTCAGGCTAGGCTAAGGCCCAGGCTCAGGCCGGTTGAATTATGCAAAACAGGCATTCAAAGTTTAACTTCAAAGTTAACCTTTCATTCGAAGGTTATTATGATTAAAGATTAATGATAATTATATTGTTATTTAAAACGAATTGATCGGATGTGTGATTTTTAGTTTTAGAAGATATAGCTTCATCTGTTTTACTATACACTCAATGGAGCTAAATAGCGACTGGAGGCAAATTTGTAAAATTTCTAGCTATAGGCTTGAGATAGATATTACAGTAAACTCAGACTTGTCGCTGCTATGAAACGCATATAATATTATTTATATCATACTCCTATCAGAAAACAGCATACCATACCACCTTTGTAATATTCACTTCAAAGTTCTCTCTCTTTCCCATCTCCTCTCTCTCTCTCTCACTGTTTTTGATTTTCCACTTTGGGGGATTTCCATCTAATTAGCAAGCTAAAAAAAAAAAAAAATAAAAATAACATGTGATGACTCTCGCAATCGGTTCATCGAGATCAATTCAGAAACTCATTGCATGCGAAATGAATGACCGAGCAGATGACGAGCTCAGAGTGCTCATTTCTACATATGTATGTGTGTACATATACATACATACACACATCCGCAGGTCGAGCGAGAGTTTAGCTTGTCCCTGAAATTGTGCAGCAACCCCGTTGGCTTGTTTCCGTTATGGCATATCAATTGATTGAATGTAAAAATTCTACTATTTATTAACAAGTCAAATTTTGAAGAGCAGAAGAAGGCATAAAGTCAAGGGCCAAATAATCACATTTTATTTGACTGCCACAGTTCGAGAGCAGTTGCTTGCATTTATGTACATGCTAGGGGTTTGTGACACAGCTGTACCCGTACAGCAAAGACTCCCACCTAGTGTGCTACTGCAGCGATGTTTTCTGTGTCCGTGTCTTTGCTAGTTAGTTGGTTGTGTTCTTGGGTAGATGGTCTATGCTTATGGCTTCTTGTCGCCTTTATCTGTTTCACATTTTGACTTATCGTCAGATTTTTTGTCTGCTTCCTTTGCGTCTTTCTTTTTATCCGAGTCTTTTTTGCTCGCATTCTTCCTGGCCTTCTCCACAGCTGCTTTGACCATTTCTTGGCAGTCGAATGACTTACACGAATTGTTGTCAAGCTTATCTTCACAATCGGATAACACAATACTGATTTCTTTATCAATTGATTTGGCTACTTTCTCCTTCTGGCGCCGCAATTCGCACATTTTTTCCAGCTTCTTCTCTTTAGCCTTTTTGCTAGCCACTTTCTTCTCTTTCGCCTGAGTGGCAAGCTGCTCTTCGCATTTCTTCTCCTGTTCCTTCATTGACTCTAAATTGTCGTCCCGCTTTTCGTCATCCACATCCTCCTCTGTTGGCACTGGGGCACCGCCACATGCGCGACGCTCGTCTCGCAAGCCCACCGACTGATTCTGCAGCTCCACAAAGCTGAAGCGATGGTAGCCGAAGTAATGGCCGTTTTTGTACTTCTTATTGAGGCCCGCTCCAGGGCCAAGAGGTTCGTCAGGTCCACAAAATTGCCGGTAGGCCTTCGGCTTTATGAACTCGGGCACTTCAATCCCATCATGTGCAACGCATTGCGGCTCATAGCCTTCATCAGGCGGATCTTTAGGTGGGCGTGGTGTATTTGAGGGTTTGTTGCTTTGTTTGCGCATATGATTGAGTTCATTCCTCGAAGACCTGCGGCATAGAAAACGTAATGAATGTGGTGCTATCAAAAATCTGAACATCTTTTCGTTTAGAAAACAAAGTATTTCCTTTACGAATTGGAATATATATGAATAAGTACATAGAAATATTGAGCAACGTTACCTTTGATTAGGATTTTCTAATGTCTATACACTATTTGGTCTTAATAATTTTCTTTGTCACTTCACACCTCTCTCATTAGAGTTTGTAAGCATCATTAGTATTTGTTTTTTATTAGTATTTTCGAACGAAAATTAAGTTTTAAGTATACGCGCAATTAACAAGTTTGAATTGTTCCAGCTTAGTTTTTAATGGTGAGTGACTTTGCTAACTTTTGCCAGCTCGAGCTATATACAGCAACCGTTTTGGTTGAGTGTCTTTGCTAAAGTATTACAGCTGGGTCAATTTATTGCTGGTTCGGAAAGTAGCTAGCTGTAATATTCCAATAGATGGAGCAATCGCGGATAGACCTACAGTAATATTAATATATTGCGATATTAAATGTCACTTAAAATAAATATTTTTATTTTTATTTTTGTTTAATTTAAAATCAAAGAAGCTGTCAAAGTTAGGCTGCCGTGGGTAGATTTTATAAATATTGTACAATTAAATATTAGTTTTTGGGCTATAGATTGATTCTTCTAGATCGGAATATAATTTTTAATATTATCACTAAATTAATCCAATTCTTCCAGTTCTTAGGTTCTTGACTTCTTTGGTTTTCATACATTCAGACGTAATTGGAAGATAAACCGCTGATCCGAATAACGCGAGCAGGTCAACAGTCGTCCACCAAAAGTAGAGGAAAAGACAAAGTCAAGAGTAGTCCTAACAGTTCGCTTTGGCTTTACAATCTGTTGGACCTTGTGCGCTGTGTGTGCGCGTGTGTGAGTAATTCACGTGAGTGTGACACTGACACTTGCAGCTAACTGAAAAAAAAAAATCGCTTCGTACAGTTTTCCATGAGCTGTCAGCCAATTGTAAGCAGGCAACGCAGGGGGAGCTTCCCACAGGCGCCTGCAGTTCCTCCCCTGATGAACTTTTAAGTGATTCTTATCAAGTGGACCCCTGGCGAACAGCTGGCAGCCCAACAGCAACAGCAATGTTAGCCAAAGATCGGCTGCCTTTAAGCGACTATACGGATAGTTAGGCTAAAGTTTTAATAAATATCTCCTTACCTTGCAGCCTTTGTGTGGCCTACCAAGCACGTATCAAGCTAACGCAATCTCTCAACTTTTGTGTTCAGCTGAAACTTTAAACTATTTGACTACAGTAAAAACGAAAAAAATAAAATAAAATAAATAAATAAATAAATAAAAATAAATGTTTAAAAAATACTTTGTGGAAAATATAATTTTAATTTCTCTCTTGACTATTACAAGACAATATTGTAACATTCGTCTCTAGCCACGTTTTACTTTAAAAATAAACTCAGTGATTTAAACAATTCTGAAGCTTTTATATGCTGTACAAAGTTGATTTATTTTTTGATTGTTTTTACAGTGATGCCATTAACAAGTTGTCTCCTTCAACCACCCCGAACCTTCGTAGCTGAGATTATTTTTAAGTGTGTTGCGTAAACTTCATGTTCTCTGCATATAGATCAACTTTGCTTGAACACTGTTCGTCGTATAACTAAGCTTACAATGTTGTTATCAAAAAAACTTGTTGGCACTTGCTCAGCTCTAGAAATGTTGTGCTGGGCGTATGGGCAACGAAACACACACGTGAACTGCTGGATAGCTGGGTAAACTTTGGCAAGGCAAAGTGTCAAAAGTCCATGAAAGGAGTCAACTGGCCAAGGATAGCATAAGGGACCTGTTGCTATTGCACTTTCAACTCAGTAAAGTCACATTATACGTCGTTTCTTCGTACGCAGTGCGTTATTTTATTATCTATATTGTTTTTCTTTGTTTTTTTTAGTAAGTTTGATAATGCAGCTAACTAAAAAAGTTATACAAAAAAACAATTCAACTTATGGCTAGAGTTAGGGATAGATATGCAGAAAACTTGAGCTTGATTGGATTGATTGTGTGTTAAGGAAATCAGAGTGAATAGTAAAAGTAACCATATCCCACGTAAGACTATCAGAACACAAGTTATATATAAGATTTACGTTCTACACATAATCGAGTTTCCGTTGCAGTTGGTCGTTGAGGTCGTTGAGGCGTTGAGTTCAGCTGAAGTTTGGCTTTGGGTCGGTTCGGGCGGTGTTTTTTTTCTACCACTTGGCCCGACGATTGCTGTTGCGCTCCGCGCTAATGGAACGCAGCTCTTCGCTCTCCAGACGCTGCTCGTCGGCACGGCGGAGGTCGTTCTCCTCGAGGCGATCCAGCTGCTGCCACAGCTCATTGTCGAGACGACGTCCCTGTGACCAGCTGATGGCAGCGCCGGCACGAGCTGCATTGCCATTGAGGCGCGTAGTAATCAATCCATTCAGATTCGCCGAGCTCAGCAGCAAAGGCGAGCCAATCAGTTGAGCCTGCACCGAGGCACTGGACGGCTGGGACAAGATCACGGACTGCGCGTTGCGCTCGATGTTTAGGCGGGAGCTGGGCAGCTGGCGCCAGGCGTCCAAGTCACGTTCTCCGGTCAGCAGCAAGTTGCCTGAGTTGATCGCTGGCAGGCGAGAGATCAAAGTTGGGGGATGCGAGACAACGGTGGCCTGGACACTTTGACCCAGCAGCTGATTTGAGTTGGGCAACAGCAAAGTCTGTTGCTGGCTGTTGAGACGTTCGAGCAGGCGATTCTGATTTTGATTTTGATTCTGGCTTAGGCGACGCTCCTGTTGCTGACGACGCTCCTGTTCGCGCTGCTCACGTTCCCTCTGCTCACGATCTCTCAGTTCACGCTCCCTCTGCGCGCGCTCCCTCTGCTCGCGTTCCCTCTGCTCGCGTTCCCTCTGTTCGCGTTCCCTCTGTTCCCGTTCCCTCTGCTCGCGTTCTCTCTGCTCCTGCAGACGCTGCAACTCGCGCAGCTGTTGCTCCTGCTGCAGACGCTGTTGCTCTTGCTGTTGACGCAGCTGTGCGGTTTGCTGCACTTGCTGTTGGAACTGCTCCATGAGCTGCTGAGACTGGAGACGAGCTTGGTTCTCAGACTCGATTCGTGCCTCTGCTTCCAATTGCAATTGCGATTGTTGCTGCGCTTCGGCCAGAGCCTGAGCTTCAGCAATAGTTTGAGCTGTTAGGCGCGACTGCAGCTCTTCAATACTATTGTAGCGCGATGAGGTAGAGGCAGAGGAGGAGGATGAAGACGAGGATGATGCTTGCGCTGTGCTCAGTCGCTCATCGAGGCGTTGCTTTGACACGATAGCATTGAAGCCGCTGGCATCATCCGCTGTGTAGTCCACAATGCGCCTTGTGCCATCGGGCTCGACAAGCGAATATTGGCCCTTCACCAAATCGCCGTCACGTTTCTCCTCCTGTCGCTTCTCATCGCCGGTCAGCGTGTCGCGCACATCGTAGGCAAATGTATACTGTGGCCGGCTATCGTAATCCTCACTAGAGTTGGGCAAAATTGTCGTGGGCTCATCCAAACTGGAGTCATCATTGTCCAGGTCACGCAGCTGCTGCTGCTGCTCCTGCTGCTGGAGACTGGATGACTTGGTCAATTGGCTGAGCTCGATGGGTCGCAGAAAAGATGCATTGGCCACATTGCAGATCAGTAGGCATACGCCAATCAACAGGCCGCTCTGTAAGCAAATGCAAAGAATAAAGTTCACTACATGACGAGCTCACAAATACATTTCCTATTCCCTACTCAAATGATGCCATGCATAACTATTTAACAATATTTTATACCCTCAATAAAAGATGATGTCCCCTTAAAATTTCATTGACAGATTGTTGCTGGAAACTTTTTCATTTTTATGCCTGATTATTTGGCATTTGCGAGCATATTGATTAAATATTGAGACAGTAGTAAATTCACAAACTCATCATAATTGTTTACCCAAGGTCTTATAAAACTTTCTCAACCCCGAATCCAAAAATATTTTGTTTACAAAAATCAAACCTGTTAAGGATGCTTCAATGCTTCGTTGCACAAGGCACAATGTCCATAAAAATTTTCCTAATGTGCTTGGGAGTGTTATCCTTTTGAGTTTTCGTTTATCCTGATTTATTGCCTGTCACTGCTCAAATGCGTTTTACAACGCGCCGCAAGCGATCGACTGGCCGAAAATTTATGGCCCAGTCCCGCCTCTTTAACTTACCCGTCTCATGTTGGGTGACGTGATTAGTATAGGACTATTTGTCCGCTTTTTGCTCTTAGTTTGTAGTTTGTAGATTGTAGAAGCTGCTACTCGTTGGCTTGGTGTGGCCCGTTGTGCTACTGATGCCTTACCTGACAGCAATTGGCCATTTTATACACACGGCATACACGCTGCAGAATAAGCTGGCCCGAAGCGCCCTTTGCAAGAACCAGCCCACATTTGATATGCGTAGAGGCTTTCAAATCTGCTTAGTTAAGGTTACAAATGACCTTGCCAGTCGTTGATACGCCTGCCTGAGTTACAAAAGCTGCAGCACGGCATTCACTTTTGGGCTAGTTGGTCCAAAAGTTGTCACCCAATCGGCCCACAAAATGTGGACAGCCGAACGGCTTATCAAAATGGCAACAAGATGCGTGCAGAAATAGCAAATTGGCCAGGAGAGAAGCTGAAATAGGGCAAATGTGTTGCTGTTGGCTGAGCAAATTACAAATTACTAAATGTTGCCAACATCCAGCAGCAGCTTCAATTCGAAATGGGCTACGACAGACACCGAAAGAGACCATAACAAAAGGCAAAATGTAATTTGATAGGCTTTAAGCCAAGAGCTGCAGATGCAACCAACTTGCGCATGACAGCTTAAAGCTGCTGCAGCGAAGCATAAAACCACTAAGATAATTATCTTAGCTAATTTGCCAAGGGATCTCAATACAATTTTACAGTTGATGAAATGAAGATATCAAGTATACAATTATTGCTAGAGCTCTTCGTTGAATTGAATAATTTTAATAGAATATAGAGTCTGATTACTTATGTGATATAAATACGTGTGTGTGTGTATGATCTTTATAAATATTACAAGATTACAGGATACAAGCTAACAAGTTAAAG